CAGTTAAATTAAATCTACCAAAATTAAAAATTTTACCTAAAATTCCTTTGATTTTTGAAAAAAACAGAATCTGGAGATATCATTAGAGGTTGATGAATATGAAATCTAGAAATGCCAAGAATTCCACTATGCCACGTTGTATTTTTAGAAGATTATTATATTAACTGAATTCTTTAATTATTTTGTCTTTTGACACATTAATGTTATAAATTAGCATTTATAAAAAAATAAATTCATGTTGTAGTAATAAATTCATGGGCTAAACTAAATTCATTTGTGATTTCAAATAAAACGTGTTATAAGTTTCAAGTATTATGATTGAACTTCTTTTTTTACAAGTTGGTTTTCCTCTCTTTAAGTAAATATAACCAAACTAACTGAGTTTAACCGAATTTTTGTGATTTTAACCCAATTTGAACAAAAATACCAAGAGTTTTCATTCAATTCGGTAAACCTAACCATAGTTTTAATCGGTTCATTTCGGTAGAATTCTCGAACCGAACTATTCGACTAACCGAACATTTCTTATGGCGTGAGCTGTGAAGAAGCCTAACGACAAGGCCCATGAAAAGCCCAATTCGTAAAAAAGAGGACTCATAAAAATTCCGGTAACGGAAGTAAGCAACGAATCTTTCCGCCGGCATGTAACCTAAATTTCCCAAAAGTAAAGATGCGATTTTTCCGCCTACTCGTTCCCGAAAGCTTGGAACTTTTCTTTCTATGTTGGGGAAAAAGTAAAAGAGATCGTTCTGTTTCGTTCTGGGCCTTGTCTTTTGGTCTCCGTGAGACGTGGACAAGCGATCTCCATCAGAAATGAAAAAAAAAACCCTCCACGTTACGCTCTTATTGGCCTCTGTCTTCTATTTAGCTTTCTTGTGACCCTCTAGTGACGTGTTTTTGTTTCTTCGTTTCTGGGTTTTTGGGTTTCTCAGAGAAAACTCCAAAAACTTTTGTCTCTCTAGGGGGATTAGGGATTTGGAACGATTCTTTTGTAGAAGATGACAAGTGTCAAGAGGAATCTAGACGATGAACTGTCTTCTCCTTGGTTTTACACCGTTTGTACCATGGCGGGAATGCTTAGTGCCGGAACAACACATTTGGCTATAACTCCTCTTGATGTCCTCAAAGTCAATATGCAGGTTTTGTTTCATTTCTCTGCTTCTTGATTTTTTTATGTTCATTTAGTTAGGGATATGTAATGATGGATAAAGCTGCTAGATTTAGGATGTTTGCTCTTTACTCTGTGCTCAAATTTGGATCACGTTCTTGTAGGTGAATCCAGTCAAGTACAATAGCATTCCCTCGGGTTTCTCGACTCTGTTAAGAGAACATGGCCATTCATATCTCTGGAGAGGTTGGTCAGGGAAGCT